CACCTCAGCAGGATAGCAGGCCAGGTGTGAGGCACTAGGGTGGGGTGGAGCCTGTAGCCCTGGGGCAGTGCCCAGCTAAAGGAGCACTTGACCCAGCAGGTATTGCCATGCACGTGGACCCAGGGTGCAAGATCTTCACCTTTTCAAGAAAAGTCCATACTCCAGATGTTTATGGGAAACATCACAATTTTTAAATGTTGCAACTAATTTGGTTAGTTTTGCTCTTTTTTTTTAACTGCATGGACCAGACCAAACCTGGCTCCAGGCCAGCCCTGCCCTCTCCTGTACAGACGAGGAGCAGGAGGGGGCAGCGTGGGCAGGCCAAGGATCAAGTGAAGGGCAGGGCTCTGACCTCGGCAGGCTCCTAGGTCCCCACCAAGCTAAAGCCCTCACAGCTTGCTATGAGTTAGGTGCAGTAGGTGACTGCAGAGCCCACTCTACAGAGGGCCCCCAGGAGGGGATCCCCAGGAGGAACCATGTGCCACCACCAAGGCACGAGCTGCAGCCAGGCTGGACGTAAAAAGTGGGGGTCCTTTCTTCCCTTACTCTACGGTGGAATTCAAGTTTGGGAAATTGCTAAGCCCGGACAGTCTTGCTGTGGCCCGTGTGTGTGTAAACAGCCTGGCCTGAGAAATCAGAACCACATGGTGCTGACCTGCCCAAGGGGGCTTCCCACCCACCCCCTTGCCCACTGGACAGCCTTAATGAGACAGCCTTTGCACCGGAATGTGCACGTCCCAGGCTGGGACCCCAGGCCCCAACAGCCTCGTAATTTGATGAATTGTCAACATCTGGGCCATAATTACTGGGCCCTGGACTGATAATCCTGGTAAGCCCCCTCATCCAGGGGCCCTGTTCTGGTGCATTGGAGGGCTCCATTCCCCAAGGGGAGCTGTCAGCATTAATTACAACCAGAAAGCAAGATAGTCACCCGCTCTGGCCAGTCTGAGCATTTACTCCTGTCTCCGTCTAAACACAACCAGTGTACTGATTTACTTCAGTTCAACAGATACTCTTGCCAATTAGGAGGGCTGAGCCATAGCTGACAGGGAGGAACAGAAGCAGCCAGCCCTGTGCAGAGGAAATGGTTGACACAACTTCTTTGCCTCAGGGTTCCTCCGAGGCTTTGTTCCCTGATGAACATTGAGAAGCTCCAGTGATGGAGTCGGCATACTCCATGGCCCAAACTTACTTCCCCAAGAAACCTCCCCTCTTTTGCCATAGTCGTTAATATGTCTCAGAAGATGGTTCCATGGAACCCTGCTTAGGAAATACCCAATAGGGTGACAGAGGGAGGGAGCAAACCCATGAAGGTAAGAGATGACAGCAGTGGCACAGCCTGGCGTCCCATTGCCAGCCACTAGGAAGGCCACACAAAGGTCCCTCCCCAGCACTGCTCACCCGAGAGCCAGTGCAGACTCCACCTCTGTGTCCACTTCCCTGTAGGGTCTCATGACTTGGGTTGGTCTGAAAGAGGAGACAAAGGACACTAACCTGGGACCCGTGTTGAACTTGTCATTTGAGAGAAGGACAAGACCTCCATTTACAGCTGAGGAAACTGAGGCTCTAGGCTGCTCGGGTCCCTGAGCGAGGCAAGGGGCATGGGCCAGCACAGGGGCTCTGTCGTCCTGGCGTGCGATTCAGCGCACCACAGGGATTTGTTTGCTTCCACACATCCGAAAGCATCCTGGAACTCAGCTGATCTGCACCAGGGAGGAGTGATTTAAAGCAGAACCCAGGCTTGTAAACAGCTGTGGGGCTTCGTGGAGGCCAGAAAGGGATGAAAACCTCTGGTGAATTCCACAGCTTTGATCAGGCAGGGGAGGCAGCCGGCAGGAACCGAGCGCCTCCAGGCATAGTGCTGTGGCATCTGACTCTCAGGATCACCCGTTCTGTGGAAGCTGAGGCTCAGAGAGGGGATCTGAACCCAGGGAAGGCCCAAGCCCTGCCTTCACTCCATGGGCTGCCCAGTGTCGTTCCTTCCGCTCCTCTGGTAGGCGACCCAGGGGGAGAAGCAGCTGGAGCGGCTGATGGTCGGGGAAGGGGAGGGCTGCCTTGATGGAATAAGACCCCATGCCACCAAGGCCATACCTCCACCCAGTCTGGGGCTCTGCTCGTCCAGATGGCCTGGCTTCCCAGAACCAGCTTGTCAGCTGCTGGGGCACTCAGCCTGGACCTTGCCCTGCCTTGGTCCAGCCTGACTACTGGACCCACCCCATGTTTGTCCTTGGCTCCCATCTGACCAGCCCCTGACCCTTCCCTCCTCTCAGAGCACCCAGAGCCAGGCTTGGGCCTCCCTCCAGCACATGGAAACACCTGGTTCATAGATGGTCCACACAGCCTGCCATCAGAGTTGCTTTGCTAAGACTCAGCCAGGCCCTGAGATGAGAGAGTCCAGTGAGGCTGGGAACATTGCCCTCCAGGAGACCCATAAGCAGAATGATAGCTCAGGCAAATCTTGCAGGAAAGAAACCTATTTCATAGGGTGTAACCCCTTATTTGACCATAGTATTCCCTTCCCCAGGCAAGCCTGTTATACCCTGCAAGACACTGTTCCTTGGACACCAGTTTGGGAAAGGCAGTATGTAGAGGCAGGGCCCATCCTCTAAGGTTCACAGCCCAGGGCCCAGCCTCCCCCAGGATAAGAGGGGTCAGAATCCATGCCCCAGAGCTAGGCAGGTCCATCTGACTCCAAAGCCAGGCTGTTTCCTCCTCCACCCAACCCTTCTGTGAGTCCCCTCTTCAGTGACTCCCAGTCACCACTGGTCACCTATCAGCCTCTCCAAGGGTCAGCTGTTTCCCCAGAGAGACAATTCAAGGGCCTGGGCACAGCCTTCTTGCCTAGGTGTCACCAGAGGTGATCCCAGAGCCACCTCCTCAGACTAAGGTCATGGCTGTGGGTCAGCTCCACCCACAAGGCTGAGCCAGCACCCTCTGGTCTCTAAACATTTGCACGTGGGCATTCTGTTTGCCAAGAGAATCTTCTTGGCATCATATCTAACCACATACAGCTCCACTCTTGGGTTCCCAGGGAATTCGAGATGGCTTTCCTTCAGCCCTGCGATGGGCGTTTCCAAGATTGCTGCTCTTAACGCCCCTTCTTGCCATTATTCAGAAACTACAGACTTTATTCATGTTTTTAAAACTCCAAGACCTGGGGCAAGGGCTCTGTGATCCCAAATACAGGCAGGGCCCTGGGTGGGAAACTTGGTTTTCTGCCACTTACAGGGCTTCTCACAAACGAGAAAGCTGGGGACCAAGGCTGCACCATCAATGCGCCATCGAGGACAGTCTTGGAGTTGGCAGAGGGGAGCATCCTGCCTGGAAGGCAGGATTCACTCTCAGGAAGGGGCAGCTGAGGTCTAACGCTCTCAGAGACAGCTGGTGGCACTGATTTTATCCCCTCTGGGGTCAAAGCCAAGGGAACATCCCCGGGCTCCCTTCTGCAGTGGACATTTCTAGAAAAGCAGGGCACCATGGCGCCGCGTGCTTCACGTCAGCTGGAACTGGCCCTGGCAGAGGGTCAAAGTGAAAGAGGGTCCAGGGAGCCCTTGCCCAGGGAGGGTCTGCTCAGTGAGGGAGACAGATGTACCAGGAATCTTGGAAAGAAGGCAAAGCCTATGAACCTTCTCCCTAGGTTCCCTGGACAGCCATCTGTCGCCCCCACTACCCTGTGCTGCAGAAGAGGGAGCACTCCATAGAGAGTGGAGCCTATTTCAAGCCCTTGGACAATCCCACTGACTCAGCTTCTTCATCTGCAGGAGGGGGCATGGCGCCTGTCTCCCAGGGCTGTGGCAAGGGCAAACCCTGTGAAGGATACGGAGTCAAGTCCAAAGCGAACCCTGCTCTGTGTCCTGGCCTTTATCAGGGACACCTTGGACTCATCACGCTGTCCAGTTCCAAGGCCTGCTCAGGGCACAGCTGCTGCTGGTGACTTAGCAGTGAGGCCCGCTGTGTTCTCCCTCCTGACATATGAAGAAAAGAGCTTTATTTAGTTCTAAGCTGCACCCTAGTCTCCTTTTTTGTTTGTTTTGTTTTGTTTCTTGTGACGAGGACTTTTAAGATCTACTCTCTTAGCAGCTTTCAAGTATACAATACAGTAGTGTAAACTAGAGTCCTCATTGCTGTACATTACATCCCTAGAACTCTTGTAACTAGAATGTTGTACCTTTTGACCCCTTCATCCATTTCACCCACACCCACGCCCCCTTCCTTCTGGCAACCTCCAATCTGTTCTCTGTATCTAGGAGCGTGGGTTTTTTTGCTGTTGTTTTGTTTTAGATTCCACATATAAGTGAGATCATGTGGTATTTGTCTTTCTCTGCCTGACTTTTTTACTTAGCATAATGCACCTCAAGTTCCATCCATGTTGTTGCAAAAGGCAAGATTTCATCCTTTTTTATGGCTGGATAGTATTCCTGTGTGTGTGTGTGTGTGTGTGTGTGTGTGTGTGTGTGTGTGTGTGTGTGTGTGTGTGTGTGTGTGTGTGTGTGTGTGTGTGTGTGTGTGTGTGTGTGTGTGTGTGTGTGTGTGTGTGTGTGTGTGTGTGTGTGTGTGTGTGTGTGTGTGTACCACATCTTCTTTATCCATTCATCCATCGATGGACACTTAGGTTGTTTCTATGTCTTGGCTATTGTAAATAATGCTACAGTGGGGGGTACAGATAACTTTTCAAATTACTGTTTTCATTTTCTTTGAATAAATACCCTGAAGTGGAATTGCTAGATCATAATGTGGCTTTATTTTTTATTATTTGAGGAACCTCCACACTGTTTTCCATAGTGGCTGCACAATTTACATTCCCACCAGTAGCACACAGGGCTTCCTTTTTCTCCACATCCTCACCAACACCTGTTACTTCTTGAAAAGGAAGGAGCTCTACTTAGTTCTAAACTGCATCTTAGTCTCTTTTTAATTTCCATCTGCATTATGGCTTTTTTTAATCCATGCAGAATAGAGAAGGGCAAAGTTTGCACTGTGTTTGGGCTCAGGTCAGCAGGATGGACAGACACATGCAGGGCCTGGGCACAGAGTCTGCAGTGGCAACCACACTGGACAAGGTGACTGGGGGCCCGTGGGCAGGCAAGATCCAGTGGGCAATGGGACAGAGCAGGGAAGGTTTGAACAGAGGCATGCAAGGGCGGACAAGAGGGGAGAGTGGCCAGAGGCCAGGCAAGACCACTGCCGTGGCTTGAGTGCAGTGTGGACACAGAACTGAAGTGCCTGCCATGTCGGCTCCAGCCCCCACTTCTTCTGGTTGCATGGCCTGGGGCAAGGCCTTCCCCTCACTGGGCCTCAGTTTCCTCCTCTGTAAGATGGTTATGATAACACCTTCTTTACACAGGGCTTCTGTTGTGATTCAGGCAGAGTGTGGAGGCCACCAATAGCCCCCAGAAGAGACCCAGGATGGGACTGGGCCCTCTGTGTTATGGCAGCTGAGAGGGCTACGCCAGGTTGAGGGGTCCCCCGTAGAGATGCCCAGAGGGACATGGCCCTGAGGAGGCCTAGCAGGGCCTGAGCATGGGGGGTAGATGAGGGACAGGACCTACTTTTAGAGGACTGCTAAAGGGAAAAGCCTTTTCATATGGATCCAGGTCAGGACAGCCAGGAGCTGGCCCAAGGAGACAGGCCAGCTAGGACAGCTTCTGATGAGCTGCAGATGGCGGGGACTGAAACTGCACCTGACCAGGAGCCCCCAGGGCCTGGGCCCCCAAGACCTTGGAATGGCCCCACTCCCCCTCTCCTGGGACCCCAGCTGCCCCCAGGCCATCACCCTGACATCCAGACCCTCAACTGAATGTGAAGCGAATGACCAGAAGCACTTAGGAGACCAATTTTCAGAATTGCCCTGGTTTCCTGCCTGAAGTGAAGCCCTTGAGTGAAGGCACCAAGGAGCGGTCGCTCTCACAGCATCTGGGGAATCTGCAGATGGCTGTCGGCCAGGGCAGTCTGGAGACCCAGCCAGAGAAACTGGCTGTTTACCACTGGACCCAGCACGCAGGTGGACCCAGTCCATGGCACCCCCATTGGATTCCTCTACACCTCCACAAGGGTATAGAGGAATCCAGTGAGGCTTTGTCAGGTGGGTGGACAGTGGGAGCTGTTGAGCAGTGGTCACCAGCCGTCTGAAGACACCACAAAGCCCCCAGACCACTGAGAGGCCCCAGCTCTCTAGACTCACCCTTGTATTATTTGACATTTGCCTTCAAAGACCACCGCAGTGCAGGGAGCTGAAAGAGCTTTCAAGACTCTTCCTGTTATGTCTGAGTTCAGGCTACTCTAAGAAAGTACTGTAGACTGCATGGCTTATAAACCACAGAAATCTATCTCTTCAGTTCTAGAGGCTGGGAAGTCTGAGATCAGGGTGCCAGCACAGTCGGGTTCTGGTGAGGGCCCTCTTCTGGGTTGCAGACTTTCAGCTTCTCACTGTGTTCTCACATGGTGGAGAGAGAGCTAGAGAGCTCTCTGGGGTCCTTTTTATAAGGGCACTAATCTCATTCATGAAGGCTCCACCCTCATGACGTAATCACTTCCCCAAAGCCCCACCTCCACATACTATCACATTGGGGGTTAGGTTTCAACATATGAATTTGGGGGGGACACATTCAGTCCCCAACAAGTTACAAGTGACAGAAACTCAATTCAAACTGGCTTAAGGAAAGAAATGTATTCGCTGACAAACAGAAAGAAGTATGCAGAGGTAGTTTCAGCTTCAAGCCCTTTGTGTGCCTTTCTCTCTGTCTCTCAGCTCTGCCTTCCTCTCTGTTGGCTCTTTCTCAAGCAATGTGGTGCCCCCAGGAGCTCCAGGATTAGCCCCATCAGGAGAAAAGAATCCTCTTTCTTCTAAAGCTCCACCATTCAAAGTCCCAGGCACGACACTCATACCTGAACTACTCACCCTGGCCGAGGGAATATGGTCACATGTCCAAACCCTATGGGGTGGATGGGGGTGGCTTTGGAGAAGAAACGGGCTGTGTTATCAGAGGAGAGGATTCTGGACAACAAACAGCACAGAGATGCCCCCACCCTGAGTCCACGTGAAATGTACCCAAGACCATGGGCTCGGGGCAGGCTTTGGTCTCTTGTCACTCAATTGTGCCTCTGGGTCGTAAAACACAGAAGAAATGCCTTTCCTGTGTGTAACCTCTGTGCTCTCTCACTCTCTCTCTCACTTTCTCTCTCTCTCTCTCTCTCTCGTTTTCCAGGGGCCACTGGGTCTGGATGGCAAGCCCGTAAGTGATAACAGGGCAGTTGTTGGTGTTCCTGGGATGGGGCTGCCCCTGGGGTTGGGAGTTACCGTGGATGCCAGAGAGAAGGGCCACTAAGAACCTGGTTTAGCATGGAGAGAAGCTGTTTGACCATCAGACTTGAGTTTAAATCCAGCTCCACCACCTGCTGACTGTGCAACCTTGAGGAGACCTCTTCACCTCCCCAGCCTGAGGCTTCTGTTTGTCAAACAGGCATATTAACTCTCCCCACAGGGATGCTGGGGATGCAAAGAACTGTGAACAGCACTGTCCCTGGTGCCCAGTCAGCCCTCAAAACACAGAAGGCCCTCCCAGCAGAGCCCAGGCACAAAGCATCCCCTCATACAGTCTCAAGACTTAGATGGTGGACATCAGGCTGAAGAGTTCTCAACACCTGGACCAGAAGCATATCGTCCACTGGCATCCTTAGCAGAATGAATAAGATGCACACAGAGACAGCATAATAAAATGAATAATTGGACATGGATGGAAGGAAGGGAGGACAGATGGATGAATAGATTGATGAACAGATGGACAGATAGATGGATGAATGGATGGGTGGATGGAAGAAGAGTCAAATGAGGTAATGAATTGTACACACAGTTGGACGCATGGAAGAGTCGCTGAGTTAGTGGATGGATAAATGCATGATGGTTGAGCAGACAAGTGAGTGAAAAAAATGAATGAATTAACAAATGATTGAAGAGCTGACTGATGATGAGTGCATTATTAAAGAAGGGGAAGAAAGAACCCACTACCTAGATGGATGAGTTGTTGAATGAGTGAATGAGCGAATCCATCACTACCTGAAGGGAACATAGATGTCTTGGGAAGGAGGCCAGTGATTGAGGTCCCTGACCAAGACTGTGAACCCCAAGCTGGCCCACTGCAGCCTGGCCCCCACCCCGGGGTCTCTGAGCTGCACAGTTGGTGCCTTGTGTGTGGCCTGACCCGCTTCCCTAGAAGTCCTGGTAACTTGGCAAGACTGAAAGAGACACATTTCCCTGCAGCCAGAGAGTGATGGCAGCCACCATGGCCTGCAGGGAGCCACCTCCACATTCACACACCCCCAGACCCTGAAGACAGTGACCTCCTCACTGGTACCTGGGCACAACGGGTGCTGAAGCAGGGAGGGCTCTGTTCTCTGGGGGAAATGATTAGCATATGTGCCCCTGTCCAGAGAGGATGCCAGTGACCGCCCCAGTCTCCTGTCCTCCTCGTGGTGAGCGCTGAGGTTCAGAGCTTCCTTGGGGCCAGCACAGGCAGCCCTCATAAAGGCTGATAGGCATGTATGTTTTTTCACTCAGCTGCCCACAGCTCTGCTCAGCCTCACAGGCCCTTCTGCCCTCAAAGCCTCAGGGAAGATAGAAGGGGGCTAGCCTAGTGCTCTTCACTCACTCCTGTTCTTTCTCTATCTTCCTTCTCCAGGGATTTCCAGGCCCCAAAGGAGAAAAGGTAAGTGATGCTGGAAGGTGTCCAGATGCAGTAGGCTGATAAAGGAGGCCAGGAACCTGCCTTCAAACCCCAGCTCCATAGTGTGACCTTGGGCAAGTTACATTCCCCTCCTGGAGCCTTACTTTCCTCATCTGTGAAGTGCCTACCTCCTAAAATGGTTACAAGGCTTACATTTGACAATTTAAAGTACCTGGAGGGTTGAATCCGAGTTCTCCTGGCACCAGAGTGTAACAAAACTCAAAGCACAGTCTACCCAGAATGACGAGTTTCCAAAATAATCAATCCTGAAAAGGGGAAGGTGCCAGAAGAGCCTGTGGAATTGAACACTGACTGTTGATGGCATTCTTTGTGGGGAGGACACCCCCCCCCCCAGGAAAACAAATGGCAGAGAGCTAACCCTTTGCAGCCCTTTGTGAGAAGGTCTTCCCTGACATTTGGCACTAAACGTCACCGTCAGGCTCCTGGAGGGCTGGGAACTCCAAGTGACTTGGAGGGGAGCAGGAGAGAGGGGAGACATGTGTGTCCCCCAGTGGAGTCAGGGGAAGGAGGGGCCATAACAGACCTGGGTGTGGTAGAACCGACAGGGCACTTCTAAGGCAGGGCAGGGCAGGGCTGGGCTGGGCTGCGCCACTGCTACATGGCCCACATAGGTCAGGGCAGCCAGGGTTCCGGTCCACCCTCAGGGCTGAGCAAAGGCACAGGATCTGGTGTTCAGAGCCTCAGGTTTGCATTACAGCTCCACCACCAACTGTGTGGCCTTTGGCAAGTTACCCAGCTCTCTGGGCCTCAGTTTCTCCATCTGTAAATTAAAACCAACCTCTCATGGAGAAGGCTGCACGAGGTAACTGTCTGAATGTTCTTTGTAGATGATGAGACACCCGTGCAGTTGGCAGGTACAGTGATTGCCTTCCTGCCAATTCTGGCTGATGCCACCGAATCATAGAAATGATTAAGGTAGGGGCTTTGAAAACAGAGAGAAATTGAGGTCTTGGCATCTACTGCTACGTAGCATACTGCCCCAAAACTTGGTGACTTAAAACAGTAAATCAGTTATCATCCCTCATTATTCCCAGGTTCGGGGGTTCCACTCTGCTGTGTCTGGGGGCTGCCAATAGATAACAGACCACCTGGCTCCAAGCCCTGGATCTACTAGCTGTGTGACCTTGAGGAAGTTACTTAGCCTCTCTGTGCCTCAGTTTCCTCATTGGAAATGGAGATGACATAGAGCCTGTATTTTTTTTTCGTAGAATGAAGTGAGACTGTGTATGTGAAGCACTGAGCACAGAGTAAATTCTCCACACATGTGAAGTGGTAATAAAAGTAGTGGTGATGTATCACCCTGTTTTTTGTTCCTAGGGTGCACCAGGAGACTTTGGCCCCCGGGTAAGAACGGAGCGAGACGCTCCCCTGATCCCACGTGGTTTGTTTCATATCATAATAAGGTATACCTAGCGTTTCTTCTGGATCCCTATGCTTATCACAGAAAAAAGTGAGCAAGCAGCCCCTCCCCACCCGTGGTCTATCTCGCTGCCTGTTTTCACTTCAACATCCGCTGGGTGGAAGCCCCAAGCACCTTGATTTGGCCGAGGCTGCCATCCCCTGCACAGACAGGGACTCTCTGGCAGACATCCAGTCACCCTTATCACCGTAGATGGGCAGACAGTAGGGCTGGCACTGGGCCCAGACTGGAGACTGATCTTCCTGAGGGCAGCTGGCACCCAGGAGGAGGGAAGACTGTGGATGTAGCCAGCAGCCCTGAGCCCAGAGTTCAGCTCTGCCACTTACCAGCTGAGTGACCTGGAGTGAGTCACCTTCCCCTCTGAGACTCAGTTTCTCCAACTATGAATGGGGATGACATCCTTGACCCCAAGCCACTGAGGTGAAGATTCATGGCAATCAGGAAAGTGGGCACCCGGCACCCCAAGTGGGAACAGTAGATCAGAGTCTCTGTCCAGCCCACTTCTAGCCCTTCGTGCCCCCTGAGTCCAGGCACCCAGAAGTGCCTTGTTCCGAACCAGGGTTCTCCTCAACGGAGGCTGAAGCAGAGTGGAGACCTCTGCTGGTTGGGCCCCACAAAGCAGGTCTTGGCAATTTGGTGGAGAGTTTAGCTGGGGATGCCCACTCGTGGATCTCTGTGCAGCTCAAGCTTTCCCCTGGCTGGTGGGGGCATTTCTAAAGGGGCTTCCCAAGAGCAGCATTCTAAGCGGCACGAGACCAGTTAAGAGCTACCTCCAGAACGGACACAGTAGCACGTCCACTGCATTCTATCGGTCACAGCAGTCACAGGGCCCGCCCAAGTCAAGAGGGTGGAGAAATGGACTCCAGCTCTTGGGGGAGTGCAAGGTCCCATTGAAGAGGAGCCCGTGGGATGGGAGCAAGGATAGCACCCATGTTTGGAGAATGTGTTCCGCTACTTCCAATGACCAGGCTTCCTCTCTCCAGGCGGGGTTAAGTGGCTTTGCCTCCAGAAATAGCCTGGTCGTTTCTAAATCACCCTCCTGCCTTTCTCATCACACACCTCTTTGCCAACTAGATGGTTTTCCCGAGGCTCAGTCCAGGATTTATAAGTAGAGACCATCATGTGTACAATCGCCGAATCCTCAAGGTAGACTGGTGGAGTCTGGGCTGCTTGTGTGCGCACTCCCCTCGACTCACCCCACATTCCCAGGGGGAGACCTCAGCCATCCGATCCTGGCGGGAGGAGGAGGAGGAGGCTGACCAGCCTCATTCCAAGTAACTCAGGATAAGACCCTAAACCACCTCTAGAACCTGCTCAAGTATCTACACCCATTCTCTGCCTTGGTAAGGAGCTTCCAGGCCAGTGGTTCCCACCCTGAGCCCTTGAGCTATTAAAGGAGCAGCAGTGGGCGGGGTATCTTCAACTGATTCCTAACACCGTGTAAAATGAGAAAGGAATGACCCACCACTATTGCCACTCTGGTTGGGTGACCTTACCAAACTCAGTTGTCTTTTGGCTGGAATTCTATCTTCTTGGTCAGGACCCTGGCTGAGTCAGACTGATCAGAAGATCTGCGTGGTGGACATTGTGAGCTTCAGTTAATTTTTTAATTAGGAAAACAAGTGAGCTATGTCTTAAGTGCCGTGGTCTAGAGAACCAAGTTCTCTCATATCGTGGGGTCACAGATGAAAAATACTGTCTAAAAGAGACTCTTGCCTCAGTGGTCAGAGGAGACAGTGCCTTTCCTAGCTCTGTAACCTTGGGTAAATGATTACATTCTCTGACCCCTGGCTACTCCATCTGTAAAATGGGACAATAGCAGTGCCCTGGCCAGGTGGTCGCAGGGTTGGGTGAGATAACCTCCAGGTAGGCCTCACTCCTCAGCACTTGGGCACACAGCAGGGGCCCAATCCACAAAAGGCTTCTTCCTTTCTTGGTGACAGGAAGGTTAGGAACTGCTGGCACTGAGCCAGATGTGCCACATTACTGTGCCCTGAGCCAGTGCTGGGCGGGCACCACTGAGGCAGCAGGAAGTGCTGGGGGCACTGTGGTCTCTCCTCCTCTCCTCCTTGCAGGTGGGGCCACAAGGTGAGGGCTCTGGCTGCCTGAGGTCTGACCCATTACTAACACGGCTAAGAGTGAGGGATTTGGTGCTGCATGAGAGAGACGGTGTGGTCCTTTGTCGCTCTTTTTTTTTTTTTTTTTTTTTTTTTTGAGATAATTAAAAATTCACAGGCAGTTGTAATAAATAATACCCCGTGTACCCATCATCCAGTTTCCCCCAGTGGTGACATCTTGCATTGCTGTAGTACAACCTCACAACCAGGAAATTGACACTGATATAATCTGCCAACCTTGTTCCATTTTCACCCATTTTACTTATTTGTACAGTCTACTTATTTCCATGCAATTTTATCACCCTTGAGATTTGTGCAACCACCACCCAAAGATCCCTCCTGCTATCTTTTTATAGCTGCAGTTACCTCCCTCCCTGCCCCCATGCCTAACCCCTGGCAACCACTAATCTGTGCTCCATCTCTATAAATTTGCATTCCAAGAATCTCATGTAGATGCAGTCATCTAGTAGCCAACTTCTGAGATTGGCTTTTTTCACTCAGCATAAATCTCTTGAGATGCATCCAAGTTGCTGCATGTTTCAGTACTTTGTTCCTTTCTATTTATTGCTGAGCAGTATTCCATGACATGGATGTACCCCAGTTGTTTAATCATTCACCATTGAAGGACATTTGGATTGTTTCCTGTTTGGAGCTATTATGAATAAAGCTGCTGTGAACATTCATGTATGGGCTTTTGTGTGAACATGTTTCTGTTTATCTGGGACAAATGCCCAAGAGTGTGCCTCTATCACTTAATAGAGCAGGAGCTGACCGACCAGGAAGGTCTTTCAGGAGGCTTGCAGTCCCCATTCCAGAAGGAAGGGCACTGGTTGGGCACTTGTGCTTTGTCCCACGCCTAGTGTGTCTCATCTCTCACCTAAACGCCGTAGCTGGGCTTCAGGCACTGAGAGCTGGAGACATGGAGCATGCCGTGGAGTGTACAAGATCCTCTTGGCCTCTTATGCAGAGGTATAGGGACCTGTCCCTTTGTGTGGCCGCCAAGAAGTGGCAAGAGGCCCAGTAACAAACCCCTTTCCTCTGAGCCTGCCGAGGGCTGGGAAGGTGAAGGCATCTGGCCGCCCATCTGAGGAGGGCTCTCTCTGGAGGCCAGAACCCCTTCCCCTCAGCCTCAGAGTCATGCTGGGCCCCATCTCTTTCAGGGAGATCAAGGGCAAGATGGAGCTGCTGGGCCTCCAGGACCCCCTGGGGCCCGGGGCCCTCCTGGCGACACTGGGAAAGATGGCCCCAGGGGAGCACCAGGCCCAGTGGTAAGAGAGAGCATGGAGCTGGACCACCCAGGACGTGGTTCTGTACTTACCAAAACTCCAAACGCTGATCCTAGAATCAATGTCAACCCTAGCCCTATCCCAAACACCAACCCAGACTCTTACTCCAGTCACACCTTAAATCTGACACTAACCAGGTCCTTAACCCCAATTTAGACCTTGACCCCAAACTCACTCCCAAATCCAGATCCACACCCCCAATTCAGATTGTTATCCAGACCCTAACTCTCACCCCTACAGACTCTGACCCAGCTCTTATCCCCTCACTCTAACCCCACATAGATTCATAGACCCTAACCCTAACCTTGGTTATAGTCTCAGTCCCAGTCTACGCCCGGAGACCCATATGAGGCTGCTGTCTTTGCAGATCTCTACCAACCTCTTCTCCCTCTCTCTCTCTCTCCCTCTCAGTCTCTCTTTCTTTCTTTTTATCTCTCTGTTTTTTCTTTACCTCTCTCTCTCTTTCTCCCCAGTACTAACTAAGCCTCAGTTGTCCTCCCATAGTCCTAACCCCAATACCGGAGGCCAAATCTCATTGTACTGCCTCTTTCCTTCACCTAGGGGCTCCAACCTGTACTTTCCCTCAAATGCAGAGCTGGCACCTCCACCAAACTGCCACCAGGGTCCCCTGTCAGGGCAGCTACTCAATTGGCTCACCAGTTCCTTGTCATGTTGGGCATATAATTCCCTGAGCCTCAACTTTCTTGTCTGTGGGGTGGGGACAGTGATGCCCACTTTTCAGAAGTTTGGTGAGGACAAAATGTACTTGCAGCCCCAGCCCAGGATCTTGCGGGAGATGGGGGCTCAGTCAACTGTGAGCCCCTGCCTCCTCTCATTGCTCTCTTATGCCTCCTCAGGGTGCCAAAGGAGAAGCTGGACAAGATGGCGAGACGGTCAGTATCCAGGGCATGTCAGAGGTCCGGGCTGGCAGGACCGTGGTTCCAGGCCCAGAAGCCCCTCTCCCACACACAACCACATCGGGGTTGGGTGTGCGGCTGTATGTGTGTGCACGCCTGCACTCTTGCCCCCCACCACCTGTGGGGAGCAGATGGGCCAGGACTCCAGCCCCAGCAGAATTCTCACAGACCCAGACCCCTGGGAGGGAGCCTGCAGTCCACTTGTAACTGCTTGAGATCTAAAGCAGATTTCTGTCCAAGATACGAATGGGTGGCACAGCCGGGTTCCAGAGACAGCCCTGCCTGCCCTCTGGGACTTGGCGTCACCCTTTATAAAACAAGGATGCTAAGGAAGACAGCCCGGGAGCCCTGTCTGGGATCACGTTTAACACCCCTTCTTCTCATTCCAGGGCCCAAGTGGACCCCCAGGGCCCAAGGTAAGTTCCTCTCACTCCTGTCTCAGGCCTGGGGATGGGGGGCTCCCTCACCCCACCACCTTCCCCTCCCCCACCCCCACTGAAGCCAAAGTGGCAGGGTTAGAAGACCAAGTTCTGTAACCTTAGGCAAGTGACTTCATCTCTCTGTGCCTCAGTTTACTCATCTGTCAAATGGGGTCATGATAAACTTTTCCTGCCTTTCCTTCACAGCAGGTTGTGAGGATCGAATAATAAAATCCATTAGCTTGTCAGCTCTCTTTTCTTCCCTCCTTGAGCAGCACCTGCCAGGGTGGGAAGGCAGGCTATCGTCCTCCCTGAAGGAGCCAGAGCCCCTGGATGGAGCAGGAGGGAAAGGTGGGAGAGGAGCCCCCTTTAGTGAGTGCCTGCTGGGAGTCAAGGGCCTTCAATGCATTCCCTCTAATCTCACAGCCACTCTCTGAGGCTGGGGGAGTCAGAGCCCTTCTTTCAGGAGCAGTGACTTGCCCAGGGTCACTCAGCTTGGGAGGGACCAGGTCAGGGTCGGAGTGGAGTCCAAGACCGTCAGCCCCAGCACCACATGCATCTCTCTGAGGGGCTCGGGGTCTTTGCGCTGTGCTGGATGGGGGTCATCAGGGCCACTTCTACCAGAGGAGCAGGCACCTGGTGTCCAGGTGGCTCTGACATCTCTTGCATCCCCACTGTCTCCCCTGCAGGGTGAGCCCAGTGTTCCTGGAAAGAAGGTGGGGGTGGCTGTGGACGGCCTTCTTGGCAGGGATGTGGGAAGTGGCTGGAGAGAAGGGCAGGGGCTGGGCACGGCAGAACCCAACCTAAGTCCTGACTGTGGGTGGCAGCTCTGACTTCTGTCTCTGAAGCCAGGATCTCATTCATTCACTCATTCACCCACTCTTAGAGAAATACATCAAACACATACAATTACTCAAACATATCAGATTTGTTCCCATGTCAAATTGGTTCTCAAAGTGTGATCCCTGGATCAGCAGTATCAGCGTCACTGGGGGCGCATTAGACATGTGTGTTCGGGGCCCATCCTAGAGGCCCCGAGTCAGAGACACTGGGGGTGGGCGTGCTCTGTTCAGGCAGCGCCCTGAGTGGTGCTGACATGTGCTCAAGTTTGGGAACCACTGACCCAGATTAATCTTCCCCCATTGCTTCCCGTGGCTGGGCCTCCTCTTCCTCCTACTGGGCTCAGCAAAGCTGCCCCCTCCTCCGGGGGACCGTCCGCAGCCACCTACTGAAACACATGCTCTCCCTGAGTCCCTCTCTATCCCACCATTCTCTTATATTCTCTTGTCTACTTCCTGGCATGGGGCTATGAATTTATCTGGATATTTCCTTGCCCTCAGTCTCCTCTGACTCATTGAGCAGGGACCCCATCTGCCTGGCCTGCAGAGGGTGCTCAGAGATGTTTGCTGGCGGAGGGAATGAATTCCCTCTCCTTCACCCACCCATCCGTTCCTTCTGCATACACCTGCTAAGGTGTGCTCTGGGCTAGTGGGGACAGGGGACAGAGGTGTATCTGACCCCACCCCTGCCCTAGAGGGACGAAGAGAGAGGGGCGCTGCCCCAACCCAGTATGACCAGTGCTGCTGCCAGGAGTGGACTGGTGTGCTGGGGAGTACAGAGGGGGGATGGCCAACTGACTGCCAGAGGACCCAGCCAGTGTGTGCCGGTTGAGGGCTGCAGCCTCCACTGTTCTCTCCTCAGGGGGATGATGGGACACCAGGCCAGCCAGGGCTCCCAGGAGCCTCAGGGCCCAAGGTAGGTACATGTCCCTCCCTCAGGGGTCGCCCTGCCTCCCACCTCCCCAGTTCCCACCTGCCTGGTGAAGCCCTACGCTGCCCTTTCACATCATGGCACATGGGTTGATGACCAGGACAGGCCAGAGGGAGGCAAGCAGTAAGGCCAGGGTCCCACTTACCAACAGGCCTGGCAAGTCACCCAAGCCATTTGCCTCCCCTCACACCCTCAAGTCTTCTGGTTCCCATCTTAGGTGGCCCCACTCTACCCAGTCCCCAAGGCAGGAACTGGGTGTCTTCCTTGCTTCCCCAACCCCTTAAGACAACCACCAAATCCTGGCCAGCCTGCCTCCAAACTGGCTGAGCCCCTGAGCTGCTCCAACCATGTGCCAAGACCAAACCAGAAGGGGCCTTGGTCCTGAGTCCTCTGGGCTGCACTGAGCCCATGCCCCCCAACCCCCGGGTGGGCTCAGGCACGTTCTCAGGAACTACTCCGGAAGCCCGCAGACCCAGGCGGTCCCCAGCCTGCCCCCAGCGCTCTCTCACAGCACACGCCTCTGTTGCAGGGCAAGCCAGGGAGCGCGGGGCCTCAGGGAGAGAATGGTGTGGACAGAGCCCTGGGGCCCAAGGTGACATCACAGTCCACTGCTCTGGTTCCCAAAGGCCCATCACGGGGGAGATGGGTTTCACCTCCAATATGCCCTTTTAAGTTGGGAGTCCAGGAGGTCCCAGGCCCAGGGGTCTTGTTTGATTGGCAATCAGAAGCCCACCTGGGGGCGGGTGGCAGTGGGTCTGGGTGAGTGATGAGGCCTCCACTGTGTAGCCTTGGGCTTCTGGGCCTCAGTGGCCCATCTCTACACAACGAGGGGTCATAGGAAGGTCTCACAGGCCCTCCCTCAGGGAGCCCCATTCCTGGGATGCCAGTCATGTCCACTCGGCCCTGTGTCCTTTGGGGAAGAGGGGACTAGAGGGGGCAGGGGAACTTTTGGCTTCAGCCCTGCACAGCTGGCTGCAACCATGTGTCTCCACAGGGGGAGCCCGGCCAGCCAGGCACCGATGGAGCCACAGGGCCACGGGTAAGCAGTCTTCCCCCAGCCACACCAGTGGGATCCAGGGGCCTGATTCCTTCTGAAGCCCCTGTCTCCCAGAGACCCCAGAAGAGCTGGCAGGAACTGGGAGTCTTTTTTTAATAATAATAATTCATTAGTGATTTTTTTTTTTTTTTTTTTTTTTTTTTTTTTTTTTGGCTGTGTTGGGTCTTCATTGCTGAGTGTGGGCTTTCTCTAGTTGCAGTGAGTGGGGGCTACTCTTTGTTTTGTGGTGCATGGGCTTTTTTTTTTTTTTTTTTTTTTTTTTTGCTTTTAGTCTCATAATACATGCTTTTGGTAAAATGTTCAACTATGGATGTGAAAATAAGAGTCCCGTCCTCTCCCCTCTCCTCCTCCCCAGGAAAGTGTCTGCCCTCCCAGACTCTTTTCTTGGCGTATTCAAACATGGACCTCGATTTGCAACATATGGCATTACCCTCCCCCCGTGGGGCCTTGCCTTTCCCCCAGCCCCACATCACCGTTCACCCCTGTCTCTGGAGCACAGCCACCGCAGCTGGTCCCAGATCTTTTGTGATGAGCCCCTATCAACACACTTTTAGAACTACATCCCAGCCCCTGTCATTGGCCCTGTGATTTCGGGCAATCACATCCCCCTTATGCTCCCAGAGGCTGCCTTCCTCCTCCAAAACACAGGTCTAAGCCCGCAGCCTGGTCGTGCAGGTGGCCAGGGAATTGGATTAAGCATTGAGTGTGGGAATTCAGTGTACACCTTACAGTTCCGTGAAGGCCATGACCGTGGAGGCAGCTGGCAAATGATGCCCTGGCCTGGGTCTCTCCATCCTGCGCAGATGGCCTCAGGCCTGACCAAAGTGCTCACAGACCCCGCTGCTCTCCTAGCAGAGAAGAGTCCAGTGGGGAGGTGAGGTTCAGATGAAAGGTGAGGTTCCAGCAGCAGTGCACATGCCTGTGAGGATGCGAGCCTGTGTGGACACATGCATGTGCAACACATACACGTGGACATGTGTGTAGGGGTGTGTGTGCTCAGGACCAGGAGCGAATGGGAGTGTCAGTGCCTGGTGTGTGCAGTCTCCACCCGAGGTTAAGAAACTGAGGTGCAAGGGCAGCATCCAGCCGGCATGTCTTTAGTTGGCCCCCACAGTGTTTTGGAGGGTTTGGGTGTTTTTGTTTGTTTGCCAACATTTAAAAATCTGAAGCACTTCACATCAAAATCAGACTCTCCATTTTCTCTCAAGAACGCAGGGATGGGCCTCAGTGGGCTTCAGTTCCCATGTGAAGGCAAATCACAGCCACCCCCAGGCTAGGCGGAGGTGTGTTCCTCAGTTGACCCCAGGCATCCCCCTTCCCTTGTGTCACCCCCTGCCTGGCCCCTGGATTGCTCAGTCAGGGTGCCAGTGCCTGAGAGAATGCAAGAAGACACCATGCTGGGGCCGCCCAGGGTACAGCTGAGAGCTGACCCATAGCTCACTGGCCTGTGTGCAGCCCTGGTTACTAGGTTCTCTGGGTAAGACAGAAATGACTACCATGCTTTTCCCTGAAATTCTTCCTCTTCTTTCTGCCTCAGGGTCCCCCAGGCCTCAAGGGTGAGCAAGGAGACACGGTGGTAATTGACTACGATGGCAGGATCTTGGATGCCCTTATGGTAGTGTTCCTGGTAGACCCTGATACACCCTTGCTGTTCGTTTCCTGAGGGAATATCCATTTACTTTGTGTATAAGTCCTGCACCTCTTTACACAAGGGACCAGTGGCAGCTTAACACAAAGCCTCCACATTCACCGGGTGCCTGATATGGAAGTCAACGCTGTGTGGAGACCCACACGATGCCGCGAGAGCTACTGTAAATGGGGCCCATGTGGCCCTGAGCTCCTCAGAGGCCAAGGCAAAAAGGGAAGCTCACCCTTCAGAAGCAGGAGGCAGGGCCTCCCGGGGCCTTCCTCGGGAACACAGGCTGGAAGGGGCTGGGTCTTCTAATGACCTCTGGGGGAGAAGAGTGTGGCAAGGCCTGCACCAGGAGGCTCAGGAGATGTATGGCCTCTGAGCCCTGCCCCAGTGCTGGGCAAACTTGGGACCCGTCACCGGTAGAGTGAGGGGTTGTGTGCCAGCTGCTCACAGGTACCAGGGAGGGGAGCTGGGGTGGGGGGAGGTGGTCCTCAGAGACAAGACTGGGTGTCAGCACCTAATCCCACCTGAGCTTCAATTTCAGTTATCTCCTACAGGCCTCAGGGAAGCACAAGCTGATGGTAATGGTGCCCACCCCAGGCCTGCATGGCGTGGTGTGGTGTGATGTGGCCCAAGGGCGTGCATGTGCATGAGCCGCGTGGAGAAGCCCTATGAGCTCAGAGAGGCAGGAGGTGGATTTTGGATGCCAGCTGGGGACAATGACTGGATTCGATGGGCAGTGGGCAGACACAGAGGGGTGAAGGGAGTGGTGTGAAAGGTGGGGATAGCTAGAGGCAGGGAAGCCACCGGGGAGGCATGTGCTGGGCCTGAACCTGGAGAAGGGTGGGTGGAATGGAGGAAGGTTGTAAGACCAGGGGCATCTCAGTGGAGGAGCCAACAAGAAGGGGCAGGTTGCAAGATATTGGAAGCAACCTTAGTGTCCATCAACAGATGAATGGATAAAGAAGATGTGTGTGTGTATATATACACACACATACAATGGAATTCTACTCAGATATTTAAAAATGAAAAACCTTAGTGTCCATCAACAGATGAATGGATAAAGAAGATGTGTGTGTGTATATATACACACACATACAATGGAATTCTACTCAGATATTTTTAAAAAATGAAATTTTGCCATTTGCAGCAACATGGATGGACTTGGAGGGTATTATGCTAAGTGAAATAAGTCAGACAGAGAAAGGCAAATACTATGTGATATCACTTATATGTGGAATCTAAAAAACACAACAAACTAGTGAATATAACAAAAAATAAGACTCACACATATAGAGAACAAACTAGTGGTTACCAGTGGAGAGAAGGAAGTGGGGAGGGGCAATATAGGGGTAAGGGATTAAGAGGTACAAACTATTATGTTTAAAATAAGCTACAAGGATATATTGTACAACACAGGGAACATAACCAATATTTTATAATAACTATAACTAGAGTATAACCTTTAAAAATTTGAATCACTATTTTGTACACCTGTAACTTATATAATATTGTACATTAATTATACCTCAGTTGTTAAAAAGTGGGGGCAGGTTAGTGAGAGGAAGTGGAGGGAAGAAACCTGGAACTTGCTGGGCTGGGGGCTGGGCAGCTGCAGCCTTTGTGAAGGGGCATGAGTGTGGGGGGTGATGGTGGGCAGCAGGCCTGTGGGAGTCCTGGGTGGGGACAGGAATTTGGGAGTGAAGACACCATCTCCTCCCAGTGAAACCGAGGGATGCCCAGGACCAGCAGATGGCACCAGAGTTCACAGGAGAGGCAGAGAGCACGGTGCTAGGCCACTGGTGGGAATGTGATCTTTGGCTGGCCTTGAATGCCAGCAAGGGTTTTACACTTGCTTCTAGAGGCAATGAGGAGCCATCGCAGGATCTTGAGCAGGAGTGTGTTGTGACAAAACCTATACTGAGGGCAGAGGGGTCCTGGGCCCTTCGTGGCAAGTAGACACTGTGACGTCTTACCCCGATACCTGGTGCCGTCTGCCTGGCCTCCCCCAAGACACAAGGCCTGACCTGACTAGGTGGGAAGGGGGCTATAAGGGTCACTGCTGCCTCCAGATGTAGGGGTGGGTGGGGAGTGATGGGGAGGCCCCACCTGAATACTGACCCCTTGACTTTCACACACAGGGTCCTCCTGGGCCACAGGGGCCCCCCGGGCCACCAGGGATCCCCGGAGCCAAGGTCAGTGCAGATGTAGCTATGTGGTCCCCCCAGGCCCCTGTCTCCAGGGCCCACCTCCCCTCTCCCCTCTGCCTCTGCTTCTCTCCCAACACCCTGGCCTGGCTTCTGGGGCTCAGAGAAAGTGGCCCTGCTCCTTCCTAACCAAGCTGGGTGCCTTCTTCCTGGCCCTGGGTTCTCCCTGGGATCATTCACACGTGTAATCCATAAATGGGCCCCTCATGACGTCACAAAGTCCTTTCGAACATAGGCAT